TATAATCGGTTTTATATTTGTTGTAATTAATGTCTGTAAAAAATGTATACTAAAAAAATGCCCCCCCCCCCCCCTCCCACCTCTTAAACCTGTCAGAGAAATGTACTAATGAACATTGTTTGAGCCGGTATCGACTGTATACAAGAGAGGTAGTTCTAGTGGGTTGCATATATGGCATATATAATATGATACAGGGGCATTCCTTTTCATGATGTACATTTTACTTTAAACTAAAAGATATGTTATGATTTATTTGTTGGACGTGAAAGATCACCAACATTAAAAATACACGCAACAGCCAATCAAATCACTGAAAATAATAGTTATGTACTTAACCAATGAGGTCATGCTGCTATATTGGTTATGTAGGTCACCTACCGCTACAATTATTTTCTGTGATTTGATTGGCTCAAAACTTTGCAGCTCCTTAGGTCACATTTGAGGTCGGGATGTCCTATGTATGTTGAAATAGCGTCGTATTTTATTTGTGTCGATTATTTTGGAAAGGGGGGGAGGGGGATATCTGCGGCTATAGCGTCGCTAGGTCGGGTGTCACACGGTGCGGCACCTCTTAGTGTCACCCCTACCGAAGGAAAATTATAACCTCGTAGGGGAGGTACGGTAACAAGACGGTCTATTAACAGGGCGTAGAAAACTCCACAGCGAGGGATGAGAGTTCCCGGGTAGGAAACAATATCACACTTGTTGTTTGATCCTGCCAGTGGCGTAGCCAGGATCGTTTCATTGATGGGGAAGTGGGGGGCTCAAAACATAATGTTCTAAATTGTCCGTTATATAGTGTAAGAAAACTTGTTATTGTGCCTTTGTTTGTGTGTAGGAATGGTGTGAGCTACTCTATCAAGATGGCAAGTCTGTTGTCTTATAATACACATAGTCTAAAGACAAATGTTTTAGATGGTGTATGATGGTGTTTAACCAATACATCGGAATACACAGAAAAGTGACATTAATTTTACTGAGATTTTTTTATGAAATGTCCAGTTGACTAAGCTAAAAATTTAAGCATAGGTTGTCTCCCTCTACCGGATTGAGATGACGTTCAAGGGGACTGTGATGATACCCATGGGGACTGTGATGACACAAATAGGGACTGAGCTGACACCCATGGGGACTGGGATGACACCAACATAGAATGCGATGACACCCATGGGGACTGAGATGACACCCATGGGGACTGAGCTGACACCCATGGGGACTGGGATGACACCAACATAGAATGCGATGACACCCATGGGGACTGAGATGACACCCATGGGGACTGGGATGACACCCATGGGGACTGAGATGACACCCATGGGGACTGGGATGACACCCATAGGGACTGAGATGACACCAACAGAGACTGGGATGACACCCATAGGGACTGAGATGACACCAACAGACACTGAGTTTCTTTACTTTGTACACAAGTTCGAATATCGTACTCCTAACTCTACTTACGTTCTGCTATTTAACTGCCCGCTATAACTTTCCACTACCTAAAGATCAACTCCATTGTAACCTTATTACTAATTGTGATATCGGGTTTGTGAAAGCTATATATCAGTTGTTCCGTCATGAAATTACGATAAATATTCTTTTTACAGGGATCGCCTCTTCTTACATACGCCTGGTATAGTATGTGGAATCAATACAAACGATCCAACTCAATATAATGCAGTTCTTTATTTATGCATCAAATCGACTCCTACCATAACTACGCCCATACACATTACTATCTACTAACACTATCTAACTACAACTAACACTTGACTTCTCCGTACACGCTTCCATGATCATCCCTAACACTATCAACATCTAACTCTCTACATCTTTCCACTAGCACTACCCAACTCAACATTTCAACTCTCTACATCTTCCCTCTAGCGCTATCCATCTCTAACTCAACATTTCAACTCTCTACATCTTTCTCTTACCGCTACCAATCTCTAACTCAACATTTCAACTCTCTACATCTTTCCTCTAGCGCTACCTATCTCTAACTCAACATTTCAACTCTCTACATCTTCCCTCTAGCGCTACCTATCTCTAACTCAACATTTCAACTCTCTACATCTTCCCTCTAGCGCTACCCATCTCTAACTCAACATTTCAACTCTCTACATCTTTCCTCTATCGCTACCTATCTCTAACTCAACATTTCAACTTTCTACATCTTTCCCTTACCGCTACCTATCTCTAGCAGCTGATCCACGCTTCAGTGGTCATCTGACCGTCTCACGTGACCTGTCATCTCCTGTAATTCTATTGGTCTACCTGACTATCCTATGCTCTGTTTCTGCCTTCTTATGCTTGACCTATATGACGTATTACTTGCATCGTCACACCAATATACAATTTCACGCTAACTTGAACTCTCCGTTTTTTATTGCTATTACTGTTTCTTCCATATCTACATTTAAGACGACAACCATTTATGTGATGTTTAAAAGTACTTTGTTACCTAAACATTAGTACCGGCTGACTTTATATTTCATTTTAAACACGTAGGATATTGTAGGCTTATGCAATAAAAAAATATAAATGAAATTCTGTATGTGTTTACAGGCATTAAGATAATCGTACACATTATATATATATATATATATATATATATATATATATATATATATATATATATATATATATATATATATATATATATCTATATATATATATATATATAATTGGGGTTGGCTTAGTGAAGAACTGAAACCAAGTTGAGTGATTTTGACCTGTGTTGTACTTTAGTTTTGCCTAGACCTCTAGTTCAGTCATCTTGAAGCTCTTTTTTTTTCTTTTATTGATCATTCAAATCTCGACTATTGTTAGACGTTAGTCTTTTACATTTATTCGAAAAGAGAAAAACAACGTCACGCGTAGAAACAAGTTTTTAATTCCCTCGCTTATGTTAACATCCACGTAACACAATCTCCTCCCCGCCCCCTCTCCAACTCACAAACCTCTACCCTCCACCACACACCCAAACCTGATTAATAATCTCTTCTTGCAATATTTTTTGTCTGCCTGTTCCTCATACCGGCGTATGTGTTTATTCTTAGTTAAAGAGACCAAAGTAGAGCCTTAATGTTTATACAGATAGCTTCACCCCTTTCCTAGTGTTGATTTAAAGCAAAGTAGGATTTGTTGGTATTGGTGTCGTTGATGTAGACATCCCACGTCTAGATAATAACATTCTCCCATTAAGGTAATAATTAAATTTCTTCATTACAAATGTATATTTTTAAATACTCGTTTCTACAATGCAGCTTTATAGTTCATGAATCGGTACTGATTTAATTGCTCTTAATAAAAACAATAATAATAGATTGTGCGCTTAGTACTAAAAAATGCGTGAAATTATCTTATTTTAAAACTAATTAAAACTAGCCCCTCTTACTTCCAATCAATCCAAAATGGGTGAGAATTGTAAAAATTGTGGTGTTTATGAATGTGAATGGTATTTTTTTTTTTTTTTTTTTTTTTTTTTTTTTTTTTTTTTTTTTTTTTTGGAAGCATATTTATAAACTTTAAAAGCACTACGGTTTATAACAATAATAATACGTAAAAAATACTCGATATTCGTTCTGGTGCTCATACTGTCGGTTAAGATGGTGTATGAAATGTCGGCTTTAGTTTATTTGTTGTTGGAAAATGGTAAGATAAACATATTTATTTATCCCTAACCTGCACTCCCGAAATATTGTTTCGGCGTACCTTGACCTTGAAAACAGGACGTGAACCTTTTGAGTGTCCTCGGCCTTTCGATATGTTCAGTCAAGCGAAAATGTGATCCTGACACAACCGCGGGAGGGTATTTTTAAGTATTACGTTTAATCATGGACCTACAGCCCGCGTATGCATCAGCGCGCGCAGCAGGATTTCGAAATATGTAAGGAAGAGAGGAACCTGCAACCGTTTTCTTTGACGGGAACAGACATTTACAACAGTTCTTAGTGTTGATAGCAAAAGGTAGTGTAACTGTATAAATTAAAACTCTGTTTTTTATGTATATATCCTACGACTTAGTTACAGCATTCAACAATAAAGGTAATACTTCTATTTCTAAATATAAAATAAATGTTTTTTTCATATAATACATTTTAAAATGAAAATAAGGAAATAAAACTAATTTGCTTTCTTTAATAAAGCTTACGTCGAAAAAAAATGTAAGAAATCTAATGAGCTATCAAAGCTTGTACTAAAGTAAGCAAATTAGATATATTTTCTCATTTTAGTGCACTCATAAACTTTTTAGTCTAAAGGTTTTTAATTTATTTTATTTAATATATGCAAAAAATGGTATATTTTAAACGCTGTTAGCCCCAGTCTCCTCGAATATTCAGGTGCCTTCCCACCCACTAGTGAAAATGTCTGAAAGAAACACATCACGTGAGGAAAATACTCAATTCTTAAACCTGACATATATAATATGATACAGTGGCATTCCTTTTCATTTTACTTTAAAACAAAAAGTAATGTTATGCTTTGTTTAGTGGATGTGAAAGGTCAGATCCGATATTTGTAAAATCTTAACATGTAAATCATGTGATTTTGTGGTGAGCAAAAACAAAAAAGGTATGTTGGAATGAAAGGGGATGACAGTTGAAGGTTGGAGTGAAAAGTGAAGGTTGGTGTGAAGAGAGAAGCCAAATGAGTGAAATTAAACTTGAATGTCACACGTGTTTGTTAGTGTATAGATATACCTGAGTGTACCAGATTAATGACGCCCGCACACATTTGGTGGAGCTGCGGGTTTACCTCCTTGAGAAACATTCTGCCGATTAAGTATCAGTTTGAAAACTGCCATATTTTATCTGGGGTATGAAAACTCAAGGTTGATGGGGAGAGATCGTGTTGCTTTGTCACACGTCATCCTTGTTGTTTGTGTTGTTATGAGCGTGTGTGCTTCTATATTATTATGTTATTATGTATGTATGTATGTGTTAGGGATACACTTTAACACTCACTAATTTTTTCCAGATTTAATGTAGGCATTGCTCTCCAATTTCGCAAGAGAAAATTTATATTTCTTAAAGTCACAGAAAAGAAACAGCTGGTTCGTTGAAACATGAGTGACGTCATTCCGTCACCACGCCGAGGTAAACCTATTCCCAGTTAACTTGATTTATATTCAATGATATTTTCTGACACGTTCATTCAAAGACACAGAACCTTGTGGTGTGGCCAATATTCACTCTAACCTGCGCGGTTGCGTGGTCGCGCAGTAGTTTAGACCTGCCGCGCAGTCATTTTCTAAAATACTTATAGCCTTGTATAAAACTTTTAGAACACCGCGCACACAAAATACAAGTTGTACACTAGTTTTTTCGCCTTAGAGGGAATATTGGGTGTAGCTTCAGTAAATGGTGTCTATGTACTCCAAAATATTACACCATCGGACACGGTATAAAATCAAGACGAACAAAACTTCATAGCGAGGCAAGGTATGAGATTTCTTGAGTAGGAAACGATGTTAGACTTGTTGTTTGATCGTGCCAGTGGCATAGCCAGGAATGTTCATCGGGGTTGGGGGGGGGGTCCCAAAACATGAAGTTTTAACTTTATTAAATTGTCTGTTATTTAACTTATGTTATAAACAATACTAAGAAAAATGAATAGTTGCTACTGTATATTGATCATTATGTTTGTATTTACACATTTCTCTATGTACTAATTAATTTGTCTTTACAGGCAAAAATTGTTTTATATTCACCAAGCTCTTACACCCGGTGTCCAGAAGACTTGTCACTGTGCCTTTGTTTGTGTGTAGGAATGGTGTCAGTTACTCTGTCAAGATGGTGAGTCTGTTGTCTTATAATACACTAAGTCTGATACTATGATTATCTTTCACCAATAAATTGGGGATCACAAAAAAAAACATTGATCCTATTGATAATTTTTCTGAAATGTCTAGTTGACTAAGCTACAAATTTAAGGTTGTCAGCCACAACCAGACTTGAATGACACCCATGGGGACTTGGCTGACAAACAAGGGGGAATGGGATGACATCCACGGGGATTGATATGACAACAACAGAGATGGAATGAGATCCATGGGGACTTGGATGACACCCAAGGTGAATGGGTGACAACCATAGGGAATTGATACCATGGATGACACCGATGTGGACAGGGAAGACACATTAGTTCCCAATGTAACAAGGCCGCTATGTCTGCATGTTTTTTCTTCCTTTGCGTCATAAATATTCTGAAGAATATTTAGAAAACAAAACTTTCCCCTTATGGAATTTCAAATTTGCGGCAAACGTCCATTCAGGAAAAAGACCTTTGGGCATTTGTAGTTTGGGCATTATTTTTTAAAAGATTAAAACAAGTTCTCCAAACGTCGAAATAATCATTTTAATTTCTTTCAGATAAAGCGAAAACTACTTTCACTTTATGGAATTGCTAACTACAGGGATTATGATGTATATTTAATGGAACAAAACTCTAACCGGATATTGCCTGAAGATCAACCAATTTCTAACTTCATGCCGCTTAGTGAGTCATCTTGTCTGATGTTTAACCAGAGGTAAATATTTATAACGTTGTTGTTGTGATACTTAGTTTTCTTTTTACATCTTGTAAACAAAAAGACATCCATATATAAGGTAGGCAGCCATTTAGCTACCTATTGCGCAGAGTCATGTTGTTTTGTTGTTAATCCTAACAGCTCCATCTGACATGTACGAGCCACTATGTTAGAATTTGGCTGTGGACAGCACCTCAATTACTATTTCGCTTTCACGTTACCAGTGGTCTTCCCCTCTTTCGCTATACAGGTGGATTTATCTCAGTGCAATGTATTCGAGGCTTTTTTTAAAACATTCCATCACAGGGCAATGTTTATCCAAATTAATCAGCTTGCCTTTATTTTACACGATATCGTCTAGGCCGGCTCTTCTTCTCATTTCTCTATGTGTTATTTGACCCCCCCCCCACAACTTATCATTACACAGCTTTTTAAAAATAAATACATATATTAGGTCTGAACATTATGATATTCTATATCTGACTGTGTGCAAATATGTGTACACATACCTGTGTAGGATATCTCTTTTCAATTTTCACTATATATCTACACGTTTTCAATTATATCACAATACATAATCTATATGTACACTGCTGTTAATAAATAACGTGAACATTTCAGGTATGTGCAAGAAACCATGAGACAAGATGATGATCATTCACTGATGGGACAAGTGCCTTGTCGTGGACGAAGAAGAAGAAGGGCTCGTAGGCGAGGTACTGTAACAAGACGACAATACGTCGCTGTTTTTATACTTTTTTATTTGATACGTTGATAAGTCTCTGTGTTTATAATTTAAGTATTGATTTAATATGTTCGTAATTTTTTGCGACTAAATGTTAACATTGCGTTATTGTTGTATATGATATTGTAGCATTTGTTTACTTACAGAAGCCACTGTTGAGTTGATCGTGTTAAATCCAACGAACAACAATTTACAAATGTGTGAAATTGTGTTGTGCAGAGGTGGGATGGCGTGTACAGTTGCACAGGTGAGTCGCAATAAGTTCATGGGTGACGACAGAATATCACTGTAGACTATATCAAGTTTCATAAATAGAACATTTTTAAAATAACATAACAACTTAAGTTTCAATTTGCACACCTCCACCCCCACCCCTCCCCCTGAAACTTTCAATTTGCACCCCCCCCCCCATACTTTGATTACATTCAAAATGCAAAGCTGCAGCTTAAATGATATTTTAATTTGTTTTTCCAACCCTTTTTGGCGCTCCTTAAGTTCAGCGCCAGGGGACATATGTAACGGACCCGGAATCTGAACAATTCCCATACGTGAGCTATACAAAGCGACTAGGCATAGTGTTGGCTACATAACCTTTTCTAATGCTGATTTTACAAAAAATAAATAAGTCTACTTCATTTTCATTATGGGCCATGAATGAGCATTTTTTTTTTACTTTCTTATATACAGAGTATAGAGAAAGTATTTTGATTGTACAAACAATCTTGATTTTTGCAAATCTCGACGTTTTACACCTCCCTGAGTCGGAAAAGCATAGTTTTGCAGTCTTGTCCGTATGTTCTGTGTGTGTATGTGTGTATGTGTGTATATGTGTCTGTGTAAACGATAACTTGAGTACCGTTACAGATAGGTTGATCAAATTTCATATACAAGTATTATATCAATCGTGTAGTTTTGTACCAACTTTTCAGCGATTTTCAATAGCCGGAAGTGGAACTTATTCTACTTTCAATTTTTCAAAAGCCTATAAATTGAGTACTGTTTCAGACCGATAAATGAAATTTCACACGTAAGTAAAAGATCTAATTCTCTGTCTTCTTTCAAATTTTGAGTAATATCCGTTGACCGAAAGTAGTAATTTACGCTATTTCCGATTTCTCAAAAAAAACGCATGTGAATTTATAAAGTACTAATATAATTCCGCACTATTATACACATAATGTTTTTTTTACCCCGCACTTGAGTTCACAGCATTGCGCAAATCAAATTTAGGATTATTGAAGAACTTACGATTAATCCCCACCTTTATTTCACTCGCTAAAGAGAATCTTCTATAATTTCTTCTAATCTTGATTTCCCAGACAAAAGAACTTTTGTTGCGAACATTCAGCATCTGCCACAACTTTGACAGATACCATCTGGCTGTTCACGTGACCAATGCCTCGTTTCTATTGGCTGATAACGATCTCACATTCCCTTATATGTATTTAGAAGACGATGGGTTCTATTTGTCTTTCACCACAGTTGCCTAATGAGAAATTGTTTTATTTATTTTTGTATTTTATTTATTTTTGTATTATAATGCAATGTTGAAGTTATTTTTGTAAACGTTTAATTATTCAAAAATAAAAAAAATTAAACGTTGTCTTGTTTTTGCTTACTTATTATGATAATAAAACAAATATGTAAAACCTTTATAGCAACAAGCTTTTAAATGCACTTTATTAAAAGCTTGTGTCGCTAACATATGTAAAAGGTCTCATGCAAAATTTATAGAGAAAAAAAAGTGAGGAGGGGGGGGGGTTAACACCGTTAGGTGCCGCACCAGGTGACACCCGACCTGTATCTGAGTTGGATGTATACTAAGCATAAAATCGTATTGTTTCAATAGCGTACAAACATACTGACATCATATGTACAACATTTGTGTCTCCCTTCCCCATCCCTTCCTCATTGACATCGTTCTTCTCCTTCGTTGTTTTTAGTGTTGGAAAAGATTCCATCCAACACAATTAATTAAGTATACGTGTCAACTGGTTATGCGCCATTGAGGCCATTGATTCCGAGTTTAGCCTGCTTTTCTTTTTGGATTTGCTTCCATAGCCTTTGTCCAACCAAGAACAAACTACAAGGCAGCAGATATTTGATTTTGGAGTTGTCGCTTTTAGAAGAGTGGCTGTCCCCAGCTAATGAGCCTCATCTGCCCGAGGGTTCGAACTCGATACTTTTCGGTTTAGCAACCATGAGCTTTACCGACTCGACCACGCCGACTCATACATAGACATAACTTGACATCATAACTGGTCATTGACTAAATTGACAAGAATTTGTATTTCATACACTACATTGTAAAAATATTACATGCCAATCAAAAGCTTCCTATTTTTTTTTTATGTAAGGGTGTTGTCTACACAAACTCTGAAGTGTATTGATGATGGGGTCCTATTTACAGGAGTCATATTATATGGCGACGTTTCCCCAGGAGAATTATTGTGGAGAATATTATTGGCGGCGGAGGTTAGGTGGTGGGGGGGAGGGGATTTATTGTCGGGAGACGTACGTCTGCTGGAGTCCTTTTGTCGCTGGCGTTTTTGATGGGGGGTTGATATGAAGGGGCCGCTCTTTTTTAACATCGCGCGGATCATAGACGTTTGCTCATATCTAGAGGCCGAGGAAACAGATTAAACAGGCTCAATTCTATTTAACGCCAGACAATTTACATTAGAAGAAAAATGTTTCTATGATAACAGATTAAATTGCGAAACTGTGTCTTCAAAGTATCACAGCTAAGAGAAGCAGAATTAAATGCTACAAAGCAATCAAGAACCCCCAACGTGTTAGTGTTGGTAATTAGGTTACATCCACGTGTGATATGCAGGGGCTTTGAACGCTGGAAAGAGTCAACTAATTCTCGTCCAAAACTGAAAGCAAATTTACAACACACGACATCTTCAAAGTTGAATTCAAAGTTGAAATTTGATAGTTATTTTTGAAAAAAACAAGAATACGCGAATCTTCAAAGTTGAAATTTGATAGTTGTTTTTTTTTAAAATTATATGAAACCTAGATGAAAACATTATTTTTAGAAAAAATTGCTAGACGTAACTGTTCATTTTTTTTATAAATTGCTAAACGATCAAATTCGCTCTTTTTATGATTGGTATATTACGCTATCAAATAGTGCTTTTCCTCACAAAAGTTTATAGTTGTATATTGACAAAAATCACTTAACGCAACTGTGACTCTATACAACAGTAACTGGTGTTTCAAAATAAAAAACACAATGTAGAAAAATGGTTTGTCTTGAAGATAAATAATATGTAATCTGATAGGACACAAGACATCTCTATAAACGGGTTTAAGTTATGCGATGTTTAATATTGGGAACCAAAACTAGGTGTTCGGTTGGGGTCGGAGAGGCGGAATATGTAGCGTCTTTTTGTGGTTTGTCATTGTCACCATATCTCGTTGCAATTCATGCCTCGCTAAGTTAAGGGCAAGTCCGGGACGTAATTAAAAAGTCACTCAACCGCAACAGATTAAGAACACACGTAACTGTTTGACGAAGGAAAAAAAAGTCACAGGAAAAAAACACAGGAAAAGAAGTCACAGGAGAAAAAGTCACCCTGTGCGGTATCTCATGGTGTGAATAGGCAACGACAGGGCGTTGAAAAGATAAGCGTGGTTATGAAATTAATATGACAGGAATGATCTACACGAGATTACAGCAGTGTAGTTAATCATTTGCATGGCTGGTCCTCCGAAATTAGACCCCCATTTTGAAGTTGCGGTTTTATAGTCAGATCATCCAACCTTGGAAATGGAAACAAGTCAGTGAAATAAAAACACCTTCCACATTTCCAAACGTATCCTACTTATTAATAACAGTATTAAATACGACAGATCATAGCATAACAAAAACATTTGAAAAGTTCCCCCTCCGGCCTTACGTATGGCAGATAAAGTCGAGTCCATCTGTTTCCTGACCTCGACATATAAATGAATTGTGTGGTCTGCACTAAGCTGAGCCGCCTTATCGTGCCCTATTTTAAGTCAGGTACCCATCAGAGCTGAGTGGACTCATAGATATCCGAGATCCGAACTCGAGACTTTCGGGTCGGCAGTCGAGAGAGCAATCATATCGACATCCAATGGTACGCCAACAAACACATCACCCCTTTGTCATACTGTCACTCTACTTCAGCTACTTTACATCCGCAACTTACGTGTATATCGTTCCTCGTCATGAAGTTTAAAAGTAGTTTTTTGAGAAAGTAAGTTAGGGCTAGAGGTTGGTTAAAACACACACAGCAGCATACAAACACTTATAAAGAAAACACATAAAAACTTAGACATTTCATTTACACACACAAACACACACACACACACACACTGTTCATGTTTTTTTAATAACAGTACATATTTATATTTTAATTTAAAAAATGGGCAGTAACTCGAGCTTCCCGAATAGAACGAGTTAAGTTGTCGCCCTTTACCTCACGCTCGTTTGTAAACCCGCTTCGGCTTACCTGCATCAGTGTGGGTTTGTTTTTATCTGATTGTGTTTGTTTGTTAAATTGTGCGTGGTAAGGTAAAGGGTGGTGGGGGGAGGGGGGGTAGAGCTGTGGTGTTTAAAAGAAAAATAAACAGATAAAAATTACAAGATATCAACGGCCCGGGATAAATTTGCCCCGTCAAAAAGGATCCGTTAATATTACCCCGTCAAATCGACCCCCGACAAAACGACCCCGTCAAAATAGTCCCGTCAAAAGGGCCCCGACTTATTATCTTCCGACAAATGGACTCCCAACATATTGCCTCCCAACAAATAGGCTCAGGACATATTGGCTCCCGACAAATGGGCTCCCGACATATTGGCTCCAGACAAATGAATCGTATTACTACTATTGGCATAAAAGTAATCATTTTGTCCTACATCCACTTCCACTATAACCTATTTTAAATGCCTGCATGAAATTGTTTTTCATGAACCAACATCAATTCACAAACAAATCTATTCCATAACAACTAAATTCAACCAATACTAAAATTGTAATAAAGTTTAATTTACAACAGCAAAGATTTGTTGCTTAAAAGCGAGCACAGAAGTGTAAATGTAGGCTATGATATACATGATGTTTACAGGATGATGACATTTTGTTTTGATAACCTACAAGCATACTGCAGGTAGGGATGTACAGTGGCACGCATAGAAACAAGGTTTTAATTCCCTCGCTTATGTTGACATCCACGTAACACAATCTCCTACCCGCCCCCCTCCAACTCACAAACCTCTACCCTACACCACCCACCCAAACCTGATTAATAATCTCTCATGCATTTTGACATTCCTAATCTTTTGTAATCTCTTCTAGTTTTTTTTTATTTTTTATCTCAGTTAAGAGACCAAAGTAGAGCACTAATATTTATACAGATAGCTTCACCCCTTTCTTAGTGTTGATTTATAGGTCCTACTAGGAACATGTGCCCCCATAGTATAGGTCCTACTAGGAACACGTGCCCCCATAGTATAGGTTCTACTAGGAACATGTGCCCCCATAGTATAGGTTCTACTAGGAACATGTGCCCCCATAGTATAGGTTCTACTAGGAACATGTGCCCCCATAGTATAGGTTCTACTAGGAACATGTGCCCCCATAGTATAGGTTCTACTAGGAACATGTGCCCCCATAGTATAGGTCCTACTAGGAACATGTGCCCCCATAGTATAGGTTCTACTAGGAACATGTGCCCCCATAGTATAGGTTCTACTAGGAACATGTGCCCCCATAGTATAGGTTCTACTAGGAACATGTGCCCCCATAGTATAGGTTCTACTAGGAACATGTGCCCCCATAGTATAGGTCCTACTAGGAACATGTGCCCCCATAGTATAGGTCCTACTAGGAACATGTGCCCCCATAGTATAGGTTCTACTAGGAACATGTGCCCCCATTGTTGAATGGGCCCTCTAGGAATATGTGCCCTCTTTGCACACTGAAATCATGTGTTCCCGCCACCTCACGTAATCATAAAGTTATTCCTATCATAGCATTAAAGACACGGACCCTGAATCTGAACAAGTCACAAGCGTGAGCTGTAAAAAGCGACTAGGCCTAGTATTGGCTACATAACCTGTTCATACGCTGATTTTACAAAAAAACAAATAACGTCTACTTCATCTTCATTATGGGCCATGAATGAGCATTTTTTAATACTTTTTTTACATTTTTAAAATTTTGATTGTACAAAAAAAAAATTGAGATTTTTGCAAATCTCGACATTTTACACCTCCCTGAGTCGGAAAAGCATAGTTTTGCAGTCTTGTCCGTATGCTCTGTGTGTGTGTATGTGTGTAAGTGTGCATATGTGTCTGTGAAAACGATAACTTGTGTACCGTTACAGCTAGGTTGATCAAATTTCATATACAAGTATTATATCAATCGTGTAGTTATGTATCAACTTTTCAGCGATTTCCAATAGCCGGAAGTGGAACTTATTCTACTTTCAATTTTTCAAAAGCCTATAAATG